GAATTTCTCTTTTATTACCCAAACATCACCCCTATTGTGATGGCATAACAAATGTCTCATAGATTACATTGTCGTGAACAAAACAATCAACAATCAATAAAATTATTATTACATAGTTAATGTTTGTAAATTCATTACAATTACTTACGATATCTCATGTAATTCATAGATACTAAACCTAATGTACTACATCACAATACAAACAAAATGCATAATCGATTCTATCTAAGTATACTCATGTCTTCACAGCCTTGTTTTATAAATTAAATGATTTCATTATCATTATAAGTTGGGTAACTCATACCTTCCTCAAGCAATTGTATCAACTTTCCGTAAACGAGAGTCGGAGCGTCAATGCCCCATAAAAAGTCAATGTGGTTGAATTCCTTCAACGGAACTATGTAGTGTTCAATAGGATTAGCTAGTCGGACGTACAAGTTGGATACATCTACATCTCCTGATAACCAATCGTTCTGGGCGCTCATTAACGCTATCGGCAAAGTTATTTCATGTAATGGGTATTCCGGCGGAGTAATGTTCCCATAATATTTCAAATTGTCTATTGGTCCATAATCGAATTGCTGAAATTTTCCATTAGCCTTTATTTCTTGGGCATAATGTACTAAAGTTTTGGTAGACGCCCCAGCCGGAACGTGTCCCAATATTATCGGTAGAAGAGTTTTATTAAACTGTTTCTCGTCGTGGCCACAGAGTACGAACAAGGAGTTCTCACATATCACTTCTTCGTAATGATTTATTTCGCACGCATGTTTCGACAACCATCTGAGAACTGCGTTCTGAGGAAGAAACTCATTTGCACCCAATAATTTTAATATGAACTCCAAATTGTTGCTGAACTTAGCCAAAAGTCTAATGGGACTCTTTATATCGGTCATATAAGCGACCGGCGCCAAAGCGAAGCCGGCTCTTAAAACCTTATTATACTGTGGCTTCGTTGAGAGCAGAGCGAAAAGCACTGTAGTTCCCATAGAATGACCTACGTAGTTTATTTTAACATCCCACCCTTTTACTTCCATAATGTAATCTATCACAGCCGGCAAATCATGTTGGCTCACTTCATGAAATGTGAAGTTCCAAAATTCGAAGCTATCAATTTGCAAAGTAACATGGGCTCTAGAATAAGTGTTGCCCCGTACGTTAGCCATCCACACATCATAGCCGACATCTGACAAGATATACGCCAATCCTCTGCCTGGACCAGGAATGATCCAATCTGCGGAGCTCCCTAACAATCCGTGGTGAAGTAATACAGTTTTCCTTCGGATTGTTTTGTTGGTGGAATTTTTGGAATATGGAATTCTGTGTAAAGTTAATAAGTATCCATCTTCTGTCAACACCGTGTGAGATTCAGCAGGATATCCGTTCATGGCTATCAGTTGAGGTGTAGTCATGTGTATACTTGGATCGTCATCTGAGCAACTGTAATCAATATCTGGTGGAGCGATGGCATCGAATACTTTATTATTATCAATTCGAGCTTTATTTATGTACTCCTTGAATCTCTTATTCGACTTAATCTGCGGACTTTCTTCAACTTTTACACCATCATCAATGCCGATATACGATGTTATTTTATTCTTAACATTTTTCACATAGTAGTTTAGACTTCTGCCTTTTTCTTTGACGTAATTCTTTATTTGTGATGTTTTGTTTGCGACTGCATCGACGATGTTGGGAAGCCAGCTCTTTGTGTGACGACAGTCGCTGACGTTTATAATAACAATGATTGTAAACACGATAATTGGAAGCTTCATTTTCTCTGCGTAGCGCTGAACCGGTCTGCGCAGATACGCGAGTGCGACTGACCAAATCGTAACCCGACCGACGCTCAAACATAATTTATTTCAGTCCGGGGTCAAGGGGAAGTGTGTATGACTAATTTCTTTTATAAACGCAAGTGATAAAGTTCATACGTCGATGTTTATATTTATTTTGTATTTTATTAGATTACTGTTTGCTACGATAAATAATTAATGATTCACAGGCATTAGTAATAAGTATTAATGTTAATTACCTAATTGTAATTTGATTTGATTATTTGCCTAAGAACTTCACTTGTAACTTGAACGTTAAGATGGAGAAAAGTAATGAGATAGGCTTTTACTACGATTTTATAATTTAATATTTCTGAACGTCATATAACTTCACAATAATTAAATATATATATAAGGGTGTAATTTATTCTATAAATAGTAGATATTATCGCAGTAAGTAATGCTGGTGATAAACCATGGTCATATAATCATCACCAGCCCATTAATGTACCCCGTAGTTCAGGCCTTCTTTATGGATAGAATCCAATCATATCAAATATAGAAAAGGGCCATACATACCCACCACGCGGATTCAGTGCGAATGAGGAAATATTTTAAGAAAAAAAAAGAAAGCACGGTGCGTCGTACCACCGACCGTTTATTTCGTCCTAGGTATCTGCATGTAAGATTATTGTCTGTCATCTTCAACATCATTTGTTTTTATTATTCACTTTTCGTAATTTGAAATTTTGACTAATCCAATATGCTCTTTATAAATGTCAGTTGGTAAAAAAATCATCTGGCGTGAATATGAAAATTTAATCATATAAATTTAAATATGTAAATTACCGTACATATTACCGTACATATTTAATTATAACTATCGTTCAGTCTCTTAAATCACGTGTCTCTCTCACTACGGGATGTTGGCAAAATTTCCGTGTATAACGGAACAAGTCCATACTGAAAAAAAAAAAAAATGTAAATGTAGTAATAATTAAGTTATTATAATTTAAATCTAAAATTATATCTTCGTGAAATATCTACCAAGTCATATCTATTTAGAAAACCCAGAAACGGGGTATGTATTTTTTCTCTCTAACTATATCAATTATATTATTTTGGTAATCATACGAACTGTTTTTATATTATTTTTTTTATTTGTTACAGTTCTTTTCTTTTACCCTCAAATAAATCAAAATTTTCAAGCTCAGAACTAACAGTGCTATTCATAAACAAGGTTTAGCGTCAGAGTAAATTTAAGCTAAAATTGCAATTTTAGTATTAGCCCAAATTCATATTAAACAGTGAGTCTCAGCGTAAATTTACTCTAACTTTAAATGTTCACGAAGTTTTACCAATACCAAACTCTTTCATTATTATACCAAATTTTATATTATGGTCATAATATATTTATGATCGATATTGTTTTTACAGTTATGTTGGTAATGTTCAGTTTTTAAAACGAGTCCGCTGACATAATTTTCGTAAAAATCAGTGAATTAAAATAAATTATTTCATTTATGAACAGCAACAAGCTTTAGCACAAACAAATATTAAACTTTGTATGTCATTTTACAATTTAGTGACTTTTAATAAGAACAGATTGGTTAATGTAAAAAGAAAATGCAGTAAGTATCTTTCAAAAGTTCAGAGTCGGTTTTCATCATCATCATCATCATCAGCCTTTTTACGTCCCCACTACAGGGGCTTAGGCCTTCCTTATGGATGGTTAAGGAGGATGGGCCATGACCCTTCACGCTGGCCCAATGCGGATTGGAGGGTATTAACGACTGAAAATGCAGCCGGGACCAACGGTTTAACGTGCCTTCCGAAGCACGGAGTAGCTCGAGACAATTTTTTTTTGGTCACCTATCCCTTGACCAACCCTTACGAAAGTTGCTTAACGAAAACGATCGCGGGCTGCCGCGCTTATCCACCGAGCTTCTCTTTCATATAAAAACCTTTTAGAGGGTTTTGAGAGTAGATAGATATGTATAAAGTATTAAAACCAAAGCAAACGACTCTTGCCGATTTAACCCGATTTGATAATGTTATCCTAGTTTATAATTGTCAATGTCAAATGCGAGTCTCTCTTTCCTGTGATGAGTCAACAAAAAAACTTTGCAGTTGACAATGTGGCCATTTGTACATACAACCACTGTAAAGTTTGATTTTTTAACAGCAAAAAGCAAGCTACTAGTTTTTTGCACAATACAGAAATGAGGAAGTATTAAAAAAAACGAAAGCACTTAAAAACACCTTCACTAGATGGCAACTCTAGTAAAAGTAGATTTTTGCAGGAAACGAATGGACCAAAGACAGTAATTTCCGTCCTTTTAACAAAAATATTAAAAAACTGAAATTTAAAAACTGCGATACTTTGATATCAATAGAAATAAGAAAAAGTACAAATATGAGAATATGAGTTGTTTATTGGATTTTGAAAACTAATTTACTTTTAAACATGAAAGAAAACCGGTAGGGTTGTCGTGGAGAAATCAAGAACGTACCGTAGCGACATCTAGTTTGGTTTCGGGTATTAACATTTTTTTAAATACTTCCTCATTGCCACGTCAGATGTGGCCGTTTGAACTGTTTCCTTTTACTTCTGATTAACAAAAACCATGATAATGTCACATAAATTATCATTTTCAAACATAGGAATGCCTATACCACCTACGAATCGATACTTATACTATGTAGATTGGTTTGATAAAGAGGTATTGATGTCTACTCGGTATCAATGTAAAGTATCGATGCCTACTTGTATCGAATAGTTTTAAAAACCTCACCATCGTCGTTATTTTTATAGATTTTTAGAGCAGATTTGATAGATAACAGGAAAAAGAGAAGCAGGTCCAGTCATAAAAGTGATCCAAATAGTTATTGAACATTTTGTTGGCAATGCCCTCTCTTTAAGAACTTTAACTACATAAAATTAGTAGTGGTTAGGAATGCTTTGTCATATTATAGGGATGCCATGTCTTGGGGAGTTTTTCATGAGATCGATATAAGATTCTTCTCAGTGAGTAACTGACCATACAAAAACTTCACGATACTACTTGTTACTGTTCTAAAGTATTGATACCAAAATACTTGGTATCGAAAAAAAAGTAACGAGTAAGTACTTGTTTTTACTCGTATCGTGCATCCCTATTCAAACATTCGGGTTCTTTGATGTATGTTTATTTTTATTTACTTTATTTAAGTTGTAAAGTAATAATGATCACAGATTTTGCCAAAGAAAAAGTGTTTTGGACTAGGAAAATGAACTTGAAACTCGTCAAGTTTATCGAAAGTCGACCTAATATTTGGAATCCGAAACATTCTAAATATACTTCGTTGCCGTTTAGGGATAAAACATACGCAGAATTTGCGGCAAAATACGGAAACGAATTCACCGGTCAAGCTGTGAAAGAGCGATGGACCAATATTAGATCAACTTTTGCTAATTATCTACGAAAATTGAATGCCAGTCGTGAAAAAGGAGATGGTGAGGTTAGGCAGTAAATTAAATAAAAATAAAGTAAAAAAAGGAATGATTGTACAATTTCTATTAACGTTTGTGTTAATTTAAAGAGAAATTAATGTTTACTGATTGTCATCTTTTTTTAGGAATATAAAATAAACTGGCACCTTTGGGGACCCTGTCAATTTCTACTGAAAGTTAATAGAAAAGGACTCCAAGACACAGTAAAGTCAGAGCAAAATTTCGATGAGAATGAGGTAAATAATCTTGCCGTTTTAAATCCATATTATTTTTTTATTTTTAAGCAAAATCGGCTGTTACCTAATATTTATATAATTCAATATTCCTAAATATTGTCTGTTGTATCAATTAGCCTTTCACAAATCCACATTATGAGTATCTAAAATAAAAAATATTATATACATAAAATAAAATATTTTTTTACAGGATGGATTGGGTGAAAATGATGGTAATACATTGGTGAATTCTACAGAAATAGATGGTTCCAGTGACATGTGTATGAGTATTGCAAATAATCTGGCCATGATTTTAAGGGGAGTACAAAATGATGCTTTTGGTCTTGAGAATACTAGACATGGAAAAGTAGGTGAAGCAGTGACAAAAACACTTACTCAAATGAATTCTCTCAATGCCGCTGTAGTGTCATCAAAAATCATGCAGATTCTGCTGTTATATGACAAAGATAATCCAGAAAATCCTAATAATTTGAAATTAAATAGAGATTTTTAATAGTTTTTGCAGTTTCTTCTTTAAACCAATTGTTAATCAACTCTTTAAATATTACTAGATTTTGCTAGATTCAGATAAGACAGGCATGATCTAATATTGAATAAAGTAGTAATTTCTTTTAAGGTTCTGTAACCAATGGGTAAAATGTGACTATTGCTTCTTCGCTCTCTGTCCATCCATTTGTCAGTGGGCTGGTTCTCATGAGCTGATATTTAGACAGTTAATATTTTCACAGGTGATTTATTTCTATTGGCATTATAAAAATAAATACTAAAAAGTAATAAAACAAATATATAAGGGGGCCCATTCAGTAAATGTGATTTATTTGCATTTTTCATAATGCTATGGGACTCTTTGTGCACGAGACCAAATCATAGTTTGCCAGTTTATAAAAAAACTACAATAAACTATGATTAAACATAGTTGGACTTCTCTGTATTATTATATCTTTTGATTGACTTAAACCTAAAAATAGACATTGAACATGTTTTACTTTAATGAATGGAAATAGAAAATTTATACCAATGATAGAACAAGTACTGCCTTTGATATGAAGAAAATCTGCACAGTTATGATTTTACTTAACAACTAGTCTTAGCTTTTAACTAGGTATACTACAATTTTTATTAAAATCGGCTCAGTAATTTGACAATACAAACTAATAAAATAAAAAGAGTAATAATGTGACAGTAATCACAGAGTAATCTGGTAATGACATGGTTTTTGTAAATGTCATTACTCTTATTAGAGCTGGTGAGTTTCTTGCTCGTTCTTCTTATCAGCCAAAAGACATCCTGAACGAGTGGTAGGGAAAAAATATTGGACGATTCAAAAGTACTTTTAAGAAGTCTATTTGAATAAAGATTATTTTGACTTTGACTTGACAGACTTATAAGAACAAGTAAAAGTGATGATTTGTTTCAACCGACTTCAAAAAGAGGTTATATCAATTTGACCTGTATGTTTGTAATTTTGTTGGAATATGGAGCAATATTCATATATGTGTGGCGACTAATACGAAGCGACATCGACTCATCGCACTAACATCACAACAATCGATAGTGAGAAGACTGGCATCGTCACAGCAATCGATAAGCAAGATCATTTCTTCATGAGCAAGATGAGCTGCAAGAAGTTTGAACACCCAGTAACGAGATGACGCTGTACTAGTACAAACATTCTAAATTAAGATTATACAAAGCATTTAGAACAAAGATACCTACATCGCCCACAATAAGTTTCATTACCGATTCGCATAAATAAACTGTGGTCCCCGGGCTGACAACACCTAGCTCGGAGGGAGTTAATTACTTTAGTAATTCTTGCCAGTTGTCTCCATCATCCAGTAGGACTACCCTTCACCATATCGGTTCTTAGTCCTACATATATTAATAATAATAAACTTTATTGCACAACAAGAGAACATACAAGAATCACAAGGCCAAGAGCGAAGCAAATGGCGGCCTTATCGCTTAAAAGCGATCTCTTCCAGGCAACCGCAAAGAGAAAATTAGATAGAGAGAATAATTTAGGGCAGTGCATTTGAGCAAAAGTATACTTTATAAATATGAATATATAATGCAATTAATTCACACACACACACACACGCATACGCGCACACACACACACGCATACGCGCACACACACACATACACGCATACGCGCACACACACACACACGCACTAAAAACAAAAAAAATAAAATAGTTTATAGTAATTTAATATTATTATCTACAATAATATTAAAATACAATTGCCTGTGTTTTTAAAGGATTTATTTTTAAACCATAAGCACACTCCAATCGGCGATTAAAGCTAAATCTGAGTTTATATTATCAACTGCCGAAGCCAAATTATTCAGAGAAGCTTGGGAATAAATTTGCAAGTCATCTGCATAAAGGTGGTATGATGAAAGAAGTTTATTGGAGACAGAATTAATAAATGTGGCAAATAGTAAAGACGCCACCCTGTGGTACGCCAGCACAACTGTCGCACCAGGAGGAAAAAGAATCCTCAATGCAGACACGTTGACGGCGGCCAATCAGGTAACTACGAAACCAGTCAATCACCGTTGGAGATATGTTAATAGAGCGCAGTATGCCAAGCAAAATATCAAAGTCAACAGTATTGAATGCATTACTAAAATCAAGTAGGGAGAGAACTGTTAGTTTCCCTTCCTCCATGCCCAGTCTAATGTCATCTGTAATGTGAACTAAAGCCGTAGTAGTACTGTGACCTGGACGGAAACCTGATTGAAAAGGGTTTAGGAGTTTATTCTTGTGCAGGAAAATGGACAGCTGGTTGTGCAAAAGGCGTTCGAGGGCTTTAGAAAGGAAAGGTAAAATGGATATGGGCCTGTATTCAGAAAAGGAAGAAGGGTTGGATTTTTTAGGAAGAGGCGTAATCTGGGCATTTTTCCAAGCCGTGGGAAATACACCAGTGTTGACGGAATGGTTAAAGATGTGAGTGATAACAGGGAGAATTTCATCTAGGATGGGCAGAATCATCTTACGACTGATGCAGTCACTTCCTACTGCATTAGAACCTATGGACATAATGCTCTTCTTAACATCACAATCGGAGAATCGACGCACGATGAAAGGTAAATAGTCGGGGCTTGGAAGCGATGAAAGATCATTTAACGTATTCGACTTAATAGCCGGATTGAAGTAATGAGAAGAAGAAAAATATTGGTTTATCAGATTTATATCTAAATTAGAAGATTCTAGACGTTGTTTACCAATCCCCATAGATCTGAGAAATCTCCAGACTTTGGCTGGGTCACCATTATCAACGGATTTGTGCATAAATTGGCGTTGAGCAGTTCCACACACCTTATTGCAGTGATTTCGAATATTGACGTATTTTTCCCAGTTTGAGATAGAAGGATGATGCTTATATTTGGCTTTGGCAGCAGCTTTCTTGGCAGACAGTTGTTTGATATCTTCAGTAAGCCACGGTGAAGGATGATGTCTCATTTTAACTGCTCGAATCGGTGCATGGACATCATATAAAGATTTGAAGCAAGAATATCAACCATATCATCGACGGACCCGCTGTCAAATAGTTGAGCCCAATCCTACCTGACGGCGTCCTCACGGAGTTTATCGAGATTTATACCACTAAAATTACGCTGCAACAGGACTTTAGGTTTAAATTTCGGAGGACGTACTTTATACGAGAGGAATATTAAATCATGGTATGAGAAATTATCAGCTGAAAATTGTCCATGGCGTGCAACGTGTTCTGGGTTAGAGACAATAATAAGATCTAGAAGTGAAGGGGAGCAGTTAGGAAATCTATGAGTGGCGTTTGAGGGGAGAGTAAACAAATTGCAAGATTGTAAAACGCTGCGAAGTGATGCCGACCGGGAATCAGATTTTAAAAGGCAGGTGTTAAAGTCACCCATGACAATTATATGACTGTAACTCTAAATACTCGTGTAACATTTTGTAGGTGTATGTTATTTATGTAGTCGTATGTCTATTGAGTTAAATATAGATAATAATAGGGGTTAAAGTATGAAATTGCCGATTTGTACTGAAAATCATTTTTTAATTTTATTTTATTAGGTTTTTTTTTTAAATTTACAAATTTATTTTATCAAAATAGTTACCATTATTATTTATCCATTGCTGCCATCCAAAAGAAACTCTAAAGATCTAGACTGCACAAACTATGTGAAAGCATTAGTAATGCCTCCTGAGAAGAAAACTGGTAACTAAAATGATAAAGAAATTTTTAGATGGCACAGCCGACATCTTAAGGGGATTTTTATTCTTGTTAAAAGATCTACTTTCAAAGTGATTAATAAATTTATATTTTAAAGTATGCAATTTTTCGATAGGAATATATGCTTAATCTTCTTTCCGACTTTTTTTACCCGCTCCTTTGATTTTATGGATATTTTAATATAACAGCTATGCAACGCAGCTTTGATCTTCTCTGGAATTTGTTGGAGACAAGTGGAACAATTTACGGTACAGTGATTTTTGCTAATAAGCTAGTATTCAATTTTCTGAATATAAGTACGTCAAAAACAAATTATATTTGCTTCTTCATCTACAATAATAGCTAACCAGATCCAAATTTTAACATAAATATTCTTCTTCTTCTTTCATTAATGGCTTATCTGCGCATTTCGCACAATTCTGCCAATGTCAAGTGAATATATAAATTTCTACATGAGAATGAAAGATGGCGATGATAATCCCGTATATTCATAGTTGTGAAAATGCCGATAACAACTGTCAATGCCAAGGACTACGTTATGAATGCAAAATTTATCTAATCTTATAGTTGGAACTCATTTAAAATGTTATATTTATGAAACCATAACGATATCGATGGTGTGTTCGGTACATACTACATCCGTGGTGGATGATATATATGTAAGAATTAAATATGTACAAAATGCATTCTCTTGTAGTATATTTTTTTAACAAAATCTCTAAATGTCATCTAGAAGGCTAATCATATTTAATTTAATGCTTAAATGGTTTCGTTCAGTGGAAATTCGGTCATAAACCTTTTGACGTGGATACGTCTATGTTTTTGTTCTACAGGGGGGTCATTCTGTGAGCAGGAGTATATGCACTAACGCCATCTATTGGCGTATAAGTGAACTATGCTTGCTCTGCAGGGGGAGGGGCATTCTGTCAGCAGGAGTATATGCACTATCGCCATCTGTTGGCGCTAGTGAATACTTTTTTCATTCAACAAATGAACGCAACGAATATTTATTTATTTAGTGTTTAGTGTCTTCAATTTGTTTATTTTTTTTTTAATTATTCATTTATAAATGCAATTATGCCACAACGTTGCATAATTCCGGGTTGTTTTGGAGAAGCGAATCGTTCAGTTTTTAGAGTGCCAAAGAAAGAATGTTTGTGAAAAACATTTTAAAGAAGCAGATTTTACGGCATATATAATTGACAAATCTGGAAAAATTATTCAAAAGGTATCATTACAATATACAATACAATAAATATAATACAATAAATAAAAAAAAAATTAGCTTTATGCCATACGTATGCATATGTACACATCCATCTACGAACACGTAAATATAGCTTTATATGCGTTAGCAATCAAATGAAAAATATTTTTGAGTGAATTTGCTAATCTTTAAATAAAAATAAATAAATTCGTGCAAATTCAAGTAAAGGACATCGTCGAAAATGACCCCAATATGAACAAGCATGAATATTTTACAATAAATCGCCGTCATCTTTACTGTCATGTCGTACATGAAGCTGTTAAGGATGTTCTACTTGTAATGTATCATATATAATAATCGATAACTTGATTACACTTTAAGTTTTACACTGCGAACGATTTTTTTCATTCGTTATAAATTGACATATTAATAAATGGCGAAATATAAAATTGTTAGTTGATTACATTTCCTTTTGTATATATTTGATGGTAATGGCACCCAACAGGTAATGGAACAAGGTAATGGAACAACATGTTCAAGTAAGGAAAAAATCCCTGGTTGGCTGTATCAATGATACAGCCATATTTTATGCGTGGATACGTCGATGTATGAATGGATATATGAGTAATTGATAAAAAAAATCAAGAGCGAGCGAGTAAGAATTAGGGATGAGTTTCTACTTCATCTGGAAAAAGTGAATCAAGATAATCGATTACAATAATGAAAATCAATTTATGTAAATAAATATCCAAACGCTGAAATCGTTCTAATAGCTAATTGAAATTCTAAAAATTAAAAGAGTTTTAGTTTGATTTTCATCGTATAGTTTTGTCGACTCTAGTAAACAATCTTCTATAATATGAAATTATTTAACATGAATTAACTAATAATATTTTAGCAATTGTTTGATTTAATATAGGCAACATAATTTTAGTTTTACGAATGTATTTAAAATGCCTAATATATTTATATTTCTTAAATCAACATTATTGTTGATATTTAAAAAATTCACCAGTTCCACATACACTAAGATGAGATTCGATAAAATTCGGTTGAAAAATATTTTTATGATTTTCGATGCCATTTACTTTTGCAGTGCGTTTTTGCTTTTAACAAAGCACCCTACATTTATTTATTCTACCCATATTTGTTTCTTTGTAAAAATAAACTTATATTAAGAATTAAGTAAATAAAAATAGAAGAAGAAATACTATTCAATTATAATTATGTTTAAGTACCTACAGTAGGTACTTCAACAGATTTTTTTTATAATATGATTGGTAATGTATATCAAACATGTAACATGCAATTAAAACATAACTACATTAAAACATGCAATACTCTCAAATGCTTAACCAAATATTAGCATACGATTATGTGCTAATAAATAGTATTTGATTAAATCGTATACGAATATTGTATTCAGTTTTAAAAAGTTTTTTTTTTTGACGTAGATACGTCTATGTTTTCGTTCTACAGGGGGGTCATTCTGTGAGCAGGAGTATATGCACTAACGCCATCTATTGGCGTATAAGTGAACTATGCTTGCTCTGCAGGGGGAGGGGCATTCTGTCAGCAGGAGTATATGCACTATCGCCATCTTTTGGCGCTAGTGAATACTTTTTTCATTCAACAAATGAACGCAACGAATATTTATTTATTTAGTGTTTAGTGTCTTCAATTTGTTTATTTTTTCAAATTTCAATTTTTTAATACGTTAGTAAAAAACAATGGAAATTACTGGCTTTGGTCAATTCGTTTCCTGCAAAAATCAACTTTTGCTATAGTCGCCATCTAGTGGAGGTGCTTTTTTTAGTGCTTTCGTTTTTTTTAATACTTTCTCATTAGTCATTTTCATTATTAGTATTACACTTCTGAAGGATACCAATAGTAAATAAGTGAACAAATAGCCTTGATAATAATTTGAACTAATTTAATTATATAATAACTTAAAATTTTAAAATAGTTACCACTAAAATACAAATAAAAAATAAAAAAGGTTATTTTAGTTTATTTTTTTGATGGACGATATTTTTTATAATGGTAATATGAAAGAACAAGTCACATGGCCTCCGTTGTGACAATCTTTCTCGGCTCGCATTAGCTTCTGTACAAAATTAAAAGTATACTTTAAACAATGGTGTTAAGGTTCATTTTTATAATTTCAAATTTTCGTAAAGTACACAGGTACACCACACCAATACAGCGAGTTGATTTTATTAATCTAGATAAAATTTATATTATTTTAATTAAAAGCTGTAGATGATGTATTGAAATTAACAATAAACTTTTGATTCTTGCTCTTTTTTAATCGTATTTATCTATTTAATAATAATTATGTACTCAATCAGCGAATTTTTGCCAGCAGATTGTAAGGTTAACAATTCAAAGTTTATTGTTTTATTACAAGAAAAGTGGGATGAAATACATGGAAAAATTAATGTGTTTCGATATAAAATCGACAATTTACGGGAGAAAGCTGTGGATCGTTATTTAATACAAGTAAATTGAAAGTTCCATGTGTTACGCTAGTTTTGATATTTGAACATTTTAAGTTTACTAACATTTATAAACTTACTTTTTCTTGTAGTTGAACCCTGACAGGTGTAGTAACAGAAGAACACCTGAACATATAGAAGCCATTTGTCAACCATTTAACAAAGATAAATTCAATTTCACAAAAGTATCACAAGAAGAAATAATTATGAGCATAAGAGACATTGGTAATATACTAATTACTTAAAATAAAGTAAATCAACACGTTTTGTAACTATCCCTGGTTATTTATATGTACATAATACATAGAAATAACCAGTTTTGTCAAGAGTTTAATAAATTCACTTTACAACTTTAAATTATTATATTTCATTAAATTTTTCTTGCAGATGATAGTATTTCTACTATATTGGTAAATGTCAGTCCTATATCACAGTACCATAGTCTACTATGTCCATCAGTTAATAACTGTTTGCCTCAAGTTGTTACTGAGGAGAGTTTAAATTTGGCTATGAAATTAATGCAAATTGTCAATTCCCGGTAAGTGGAGGCAAGTAAATTATATTATTTTCATATTATACATTATCAGCCAGGCAACATTCATTTGCATGCATAAAGCTACTGACGTAGGCATCCCCTAAGAAACTATTTTGTTAAATTCCACCCCTAAGGGGATAAAATAGGGGATGAAAGTTAGTATAAATCTCCTTAGATTTTCAACTGATTGAAATGAAATTAAAGATTGGATTGGATCTCTTATTTTAACCCCCATGGGGATAAAATAAGGGATGATGGAGGATGTAAATGTTTAAGGACATAGGTTGCTATTATTGTGATAAATAGATTGTATGTCATTGTGAAAGATAAAATCATGAGATTTTAATTTAGATATTTTACACAATATAATGAATAAATATTCGTTAGAAATGTTGCTCAAAGTAACTTTACCATGCGGACAAAGTCACGGGCAAAAGCTAGTAAAATCATATAACAATGAAATATGATATTAGGAAGCAACTTTAATGTTGAGATGAAAGATATTGCAAATTACTTTATTTGTTTGTTGTTTTAAATTTTCATGGTCATTATCATCAGTATGTTACCCAAGTAGCACATAAATAATATATTAACTAAAATAAGTACTGATTTATGTCCTAAAGTCATACTAACATTTTTAATCAGCACTGGTCAAGTTTCGAATCTGTTTAAAGGCATTTATTTTATCTAATAATGCTTAATGCCATATTATGGTTAATAAAAAAAGTATACCAATGTCAAAACTCATATTTAAGTATTGGGTAATATTAATATAAAGCTGTTATCGTATTTCGGTGATATGAGAAGCATTATATATTATATAAGCATTAACGTAATATTATTTAGTGCACTTAGTTGTATTTAGTCATTTTCTAGAAACAAAGGTTTTCTAATGGCCTATGGTTGTATCGATTTAATGCTTATCCTATATACACATTGAATATAGAACAAGTAAAACTTTAGCACTGATTTGTTCTTAAAGTATGCTTTAATCAAGCTCAAGCTCCTTTATCTTCTTTTCTTTTCTTATTCTTTTATCAAACGTTAGGCTATATTTTGATCAATATTAAGTTATTTATAGAGATACAAGTCATAAATAGATCGTAATTTTTTTTTATGTAAAGTTATTTTATGTATTGTATTGTAAAGGTGGCATTTTATACGCAGTGCTGGCGCCATGGACAAAAAACGTTGGGAAAAACAAAGAAAACAGGTGGATATAAAAGAAAACTGAAAAAAGAGTATTCTAATTTAATAGAAGCTTTTAAAAATCAAAATAAAAATGAAATGACCGTTTGATGATTATAAGCACTATAAGATACTTCTGAAGTGTTAAAATACGGCTGTACCTAAAATGGGAGTGTGTTATACGGTGAATTACGAGCTCTTAGTTTTATGTTTACCTAACCATAATACGATTAACAGCTCTACTACACTATATTTGAATACCTAATGCTTTAATTTTACGAATCGCCATTAGCTTTCTTTTTCCATTTCTTACAATAATATTTAAAGACAACTGTGTGAGATGAAAAGGCGTAAATAATCATTTATTTTGTACACAGATGCCTATAAAAGCAATTATGTTGTTAAAACAATGCTAAAAGCCTAAAATTCAACAAATTTTTTTGCTACTAGGTTAAATTTTCTGTTATTTTTATTATATTAAAGGAAGTTTGCGAAGGCGCGTGTATTTTACACCATAAACTTGTATATTTTACTCCACATACTGATGTTTGCAGCTTTTCATAACGAGCTGTATAAATGTTAGTACTCTCCTGTTCAATATTAAAAAAATACTTAATAGACCAGCCAAGAGAACATGTCATCATGACACACAAAACAATAACTTAAACCGATTATATATTTTTAAAATCTATTAAATATAATTTTTTACAAAGGAAATAAAACAGTAAGAATTTTAATAACATTAAATTAACGTATTATAATTTTGATTTCCGCATATCAATTATAATATAATCACAAAAAGTTCAATTAGCACTTTAAGGTGCTAATTGAACTTTTTGGGGGCTATTAGAATGCTTTTACCCGATTTTATTAATGCTATTATACAAAAGTTGTAGTGCTATTGCACAGCTTTTATAAAGCTTAAAGTCGTACAAAGGGGGGGCACAAATTTTAAGTGTAAGAGTCGTTTAAAAGAAATACCGTTGATATACGATTTTATTATACTCGTGCTATTATAAGTTTGATATAATGTTGTTTTGTGCTACTTGGATAGTGAAAAACAGGATTGCTACCATTTACCTTGTATTTTATGAGTTCCCAATTCTGTATATCATTATCTTGGATGTTCAAATAAGATTGAAAAGAAAAAAAAAACAATATTTTTAATAGGAATTGATACACCTTTGGCAATTGGTAAATCATAGGTATGCAACCTATTGTTACAAAGAAAAAAATGTTTTTTATTTATAGTTAAAAATGCCTCTCTTTGCATTTGTATGTTTTATTTTAATGTAAAAGATATAAATAAATATAATATTATTCCTCCTCAGGGTGTTTCGAATTGGATTCAACAGTTTATGCGCGTTAGCATCTGTCAATCATTTACATTACCACTTATTCATAGAAAAGCATGAATTGCCTGTGGAAGATGGGGTAAGTTTGTGCAAATAAAAATAATTTCATTGTACCACAAAATCATCTGTCAGCTTTTATTTAAAATTCACCTAATAAGGCAGAAAAAGACATTAAACCTATATTTGAATAAAAATTTAACATTTTCTATTATATTTATTTTAAAAATCCTTATTATTCAAAGTTAATATATAAGCAATGTAATTTTTCAGAAATGTATACATATAAACGGTCCTGTCTTCTGTCTATATGAATACCCCGTCCCAGCCTTTTGTTTTCAACTACAACAAGATGATTGCACATATAAAGTAGCTAATGATGTGTATAAACTACTACAGTATTTTTTAAGTAAAGAAATTGCACACAATATTTTTATGACCAAAGGTAAAAATTTTAATGGGGGGACTGAAGAAGTGTTAAGGGTGATTGTATGGCCCAGAAGGAACAGTACAGGAGTTAAGCAGTTGGGAGCGTTTAATGTAGCTGTATGTGAATTAAGTGGATGGTTTCCTGTTTATAGTAAGTATAGCAACATACACTATAATACTACACTAGTACAGATTCACAAATTCTTGTGTGACCATTTTTTTGTGGTGAATAGCTTGTTTAGTAGTATAGAAGTCTTTATAATAATTTTTGAATTATATTTCCAATACATTGTTGTGTTTTTAGAGTTTTTTAGACAGGTATTCAGCACTATTTACATACCTAATCAAAGCATACACAAGATGTTAACTGTCGCCATCTAGTGGGGAGCTTTTATTGCTTGACTTAGGAAAGTATATACTAATACAGATATGTATACTATACTGGTATCTTTTAGAACTAAATCACCAATAGTACCTGCATTGTAGCAGCATTAGTGGTGAAATCAAATAAAACCCACTTTAAGAGAGAATAAAGGTTTTATTTGATTGACTAGTAAAGCTAGATAGAATTTGTATTCTCTTTCATTCAGGGTGCTCGTTAGTTTTTACATGAGTTTTTTTTTTAATCTTTATTTAGAGGCCTTAGTCGTTGTTTTACATGAGTTCAGTTATAGTTTATATCTCATTTATGTGTGACTTTTTATTTACATCACTGGCCATAGTACAATATTATGAAGATATGACTCATTAGGATAAATAAATAAAACCTTTGAACTTATGATAATGGGTCATCTGTCACTTAAGTCATGATTCACCAAGTACATAATCATGTGTCATGTCAACATAATTATGATTAATGCAAGTTATTACTGAGCATAATATGCTGCTCATATACCTACATATGTAGCTAACTATAAAATTATGATAGCAATTATTTTGTGCTACAAATTATTTGATATATAATTTATTATTTTAAAGAAGTAAACTTATTATATTATTTAATAATAGTATACCGGAGTATTTATACTTTTTCGGTTAAAAGTTGACCTCTTTTAACCGAAAAAGGCATAATATAAAAGTTCTGCCTTCCTTGGCAAAATCATAGATTCCCGGCCAGCATCACATACAAAATTCTTTGTACAATTTTTGGAAGGAGAAAATTAAATAATGGAGAAATTGAGAGATGCTTAAATAATTATAAAGACAAAACAGTTTTTTATTCACCATTGCGCTGTACGAAGGGCGGGGCGAAGTATACCTACTGAGAAAATAATTTTTGCAGATGCCGACGACTTCGAGAAACTTCAACGATCTGATTTGGAGGCTGAATTGAAGAAGTGGAAGGTGGATGATTTTGACGTATTATGTAATGTAATAAAATCTTTATTTAGTTACATTGACTTTTACTCTTTTTAAACCTCATTAACGCCTGCGTATTTGCAATAGCAATTGGCAGTAAACGATATCGTATTGGCTTATTTAATAAATGTGTCCCACTACGAAGTGCTATGGAACAATTAGTAATTAAATAGCCACGGACGAAGAATTTTAATATATATTGGCTTAATTTTAACTAAGTAACAGTAACTTTTACCTATCGGACGAATCGCTCTACCAATAATTTAGGAATGTTATGTTTAGAGAAAAGATTGGATAAAACAAAATAAATGTGCAAATACAAATCGCGTAAAAAACTTAAAAAGAATACATTAAAAAATTACTTTTTCTGTCAGTGGTGAAAAAGTCCATGGCATTCCTAGACAGGGTTATGTATGTGTGACGTGACATTTTTGTGAACTCTGACGTAGGGTCTGTGAATTAAACCACTAATAAGCGAAGCGGCTTGTGATCGTATCGCAGGTCCTGTAGGTCCCGGCTGTATTTGCAAGTCGTTAATACTCGTACCCTCCAATCGGGATTGGGCCAGCAGCGTGAGGGTTATGACCCATCCTCCTTAACCTTCTATGTGGAAGACCTGAGATCATGCATCGGGGAAGTGCTGATGATGATGACGTAATAGTCCACCATCACATGACAATAGTCCACAGCTTTATAATTCTGAAAATTTCGTTTGTATCGTCCGACACTGATATAATCAAGACAATTGAACAGTTGCAATAATGGACTGATCATACATATTTTTTATTTCACGACCGCCGTTGCCGAGTGGTTCGCACGCCGGTTTCAAGGTATTGTCATATCTGAGGTTCTTGCTGCCATCCCTGGTCGGGTCAATGTAGAAAATGAGATTTTCTATATTGTCTTGGGTCTGGTGTCGTGGTACCTTCGTCGTCTCAAATATTCCGTAGTTCGAGGACTTTAGCTACTCATCTTGGAATCTAAGCTATGTATACAATGTTGTCTAATTATTATTATTTTATTTAAAATAATATATCCAATTAATAACCAAAACGAAATAGATAGGTGATGAATTCGTTTAAAAGTTGTTTCAATATTTCCAGTCTATATGTAACTATATTTAGTGATTTTTCTTAAGGATAGATTTTGGTCCTTCAAGCTGGATTGAACAGACGATCTAATTATAGTATAATTTTGTGTAAAGATTAAACTAAATATACTAATATGTACCTGTTTCATTTTTATTGAGAAACTAGCTTTGCCCGCGACTTCGTATGCGTGGGAAAGTATATTACGAGATTTTTTTTTCTTTCCTATGGTTGGGATCGAATAGAGTAGGATCAATGGTCCATAACGCACTACGCTGGCCCAATGCGAATTTGACTACTGATGCAGCCGGGGGAGCTCAAGATAATAATATTTTAGTCATCCACTCTATCAACGGCCCTTACGAAAGTTTTTTCCATTTTTTTTTCTCACATCTGTCTCTGCTCTTGTGTCTGACCATTTATCGTACATTATTACCTATGTGTTCTTCTTATGATATTTTTTTTTTATTTGAACTAAAAAAGGTATTTGTTTATCTGTCTATTCATATGCGCAATCTATTATTTTTGTTCAATGCAGAATGAACACAAATTCCTTTGCGTAGCAAAAATTTTAATTTAAAAAGCTTTGCCGTTTTGGCGGTCTTCTCGAACTTCTTGAATTAGAGACGCTTGTGGGCTATAGCCACAAATATCAAATAAATTGTTTCTAGGTAGTCTTTAAGGCTAAATATTTCCTAATTATAAATAAACTAATTAATGTTACACATGTGTGTGAAAATAAATTGTCTCTTATGTTGAAGAGTGCGCTGTTTTCATTTAATAAATTAATACAGTGAATCGACGACAAGAAACGACCTATGGATATCTAACATCGAGCGTCGCACACAACAATTTTTTTGTTATGATTTGCCATCCAATGCTAGGTTTCCTGAAAGAAATCGCTGCCTAGCGCTAAATTTCTCTTTAGTTAGTTAGTTTTTAATCTTATGTATGAAAAATATAAAGGTATGTATGTTCGTGTAATTTTCTTGTTGCGCAATAAAGACTTTACTTACTTACTTAACCGCATTGTTAAACGAATGCGCTAACATCTAATCTTAAACGAGTAAAAATTTCATTTTTTTTGCATCGAATTGGTTCCGAAACCAGTTTAGATTTTTTTTTCACTTTCTCGCTCTCTATACGGCAAAGTCTGAGCACTTTAAGAGCTCTATCAAAGGAAGTTAAAAACTCAAAACAATTCTGCATATGTGTTACGATCAGCAGTTAGACGTGCTAAGTTATCTTTAGGAGTTTTCTGACATCAAACGTTTGCTGTATGAGATCTCTGAGGGCTCAAGATATTTTCCCTAGCAATAAACGCTCCAGATACAACATGGTAGTGCATTAGCGTCGCGATGGGCATTTAAATCCGTCCATCCGTAAAAGGGCATCGCGCCCGTTTAGTATCTCTTGTGTCCGCGCACTTCCTGTACGAACTCATTGAGGGCTCAAGCGACTTTATTTGTCAATAAAAGTCTTAGGGTCGTCAGACATGCGTCTTATTTGTCGCAGAACGTCAGAGAACTAAAAAAATAAATGATACTAAATTCGACCTTGCACACTCGATGGAGATCTTGTACTAATATATACTTCCGTGAGGTGCTTGACTGAGCTCCATCAATTTTGCACCGACCCTCAGACTCATGTAATATTGCATGAGTCTCATGACCGGTGAATAAACCTTTTTCCAGTAAAGACTGCAAATACTAAAGCAATTTGAATGTAAAAAAGAATATAGAGAAAAGAAAATGATTAACTTAAGTTGTCTGCACTCATTCGAGAATGGTATAAACCCAGTTTAGATTCATGCTGAACCAAAGTTTCTGTAGGGCGTAACCTGGTCTAAAAATTTCCTACGTCTCGCTGCAGGATCTTCTTAAGAATCTCATCCTTTTAGCAGTTTTGCAGGTTTGACCTTTTTTCAAGGCATTCTTACAATTTATGTACCTTTTTGGCGAAATAATCTGCTGAGACGCGAACTTTTTTTAACGTCAAGGAAATGCTTCTGGCTCAATTCCTGTTACCCGGCAAGCAACGGGGGGTGAGTATGAATCTTCTCTGTGAACTCACCCAGCCACAGTTCAGTCACAAGGAAACTCAAGTATTACCATTGGTCTCATCGCAGAGGGAGAGGCTCGGGTCCATCAGGTGAGGCTTTGCAATGCAGAGGCCAACCACCTCCGCTAGCTTCGAAGACGTAAACCTAACCTGATATGAATTTACTGTCGAAAACCTTATACGTGCGTTCACGGCGCAATGCTCTTTTGGCTTGATCTCCTACTCGCGTGATCGTATGCTATATGACTATATGAGCTACAGCTTATAATACCTATGTATGATCAATCATATTTATTTGGGTTCACCTTATTTAATATGATTGGTCACATATAATTGAAATCAATTTACATTGCTGTGTCCAAAATATAGGTTTTTTTTTTTTTAATTTCTTTTCATATAAATTATGTTTTTACTGGCTATATCAATACGCAACTCAGTAGCGCAACGGATAAGCGCCTCTACCCGTGATTGTTGTTGTTAAGCAATTTTCACATGGGTTGTTCACGGGATGGGTGACCAAAAAATTATTAGATAAATGGCTGAGCCCCACTGCATGACGATGTTAAAGAGCTGACGATGATAAATATATTAGAGACTAAAATTTTATAAAAAAATAATTTCATAACAATTTTGGCGAACACAGTACTTAAAATTGATATAACCTTTTTATTTATGAACTGGTTGAAATAAAACTTACACTTAATGTTAGCGGAAGGTTACCACAATACAATAGTGCATTAAAATCGGTTCAGCCTGTTTAGTCGGTGTCTGTTCGTCGGTTTCACAGACAAACAGACAAAAAAATAAAAACCGTTGTTTTGTGTTCTGTTACGTTTATAAATGCATCTAATAACAGTTTTTTCATATATCTTCAATATGTACAGACTTTTTTTATTATAATACGTATATAGATATAGATCCGATACCAAAATACATAATACGTTTCTAATGTATGAATTAGATGCTCTGTTGTGCTAATAATAATTTTACTAGTTGGATTAGCATGAGTTAACTTTAAGAAATTGGTTTGTTAGTTTATTATTGTGGTTTTTTTATTATGTATATTTGCACGCATTTCCTTCACACGTCTTATTAGAAAACCGCACGCTTTGCTCCGTCGAGCGAAACGAGCGGTCATTCAAATGATAATTGATGAGAAATTGTATATATTAGTAAAAAAAAAAATTGTCGTGGCAATACAATTGATTAATTACGGAGCCCGATAGCGCAGTGGTTAGCGGGTTCGGTTTACGATTGCAACTTTCTCGGAGCGGTCATAAAATGGGGGACCATAAATTCATTAAGCCGTTGGACCACAGCTTCTTAGCAGTCGTTACTACTCAGCTATCGCTCTGTCGATGGTCGCGCTCGGGGTGTCATAAGTAGGAAAGGCTTTCGCCTCAGCAGTTGGGGCAATTAATAGGCATAATATGTAGATAATAGTAACCTAATAAGGATTGTGTACCTAAAATGATAAACTGGCATTACTCTCTTAATATTATTCTATATAGAAATTTTAACACATTTTGAAATCAGGTGGTCCATCGGGAATTTGGACTTTGACAATTTAAAATGGATATAATTTCCGAAGAAATTTCATTATGTCCAATTTTTTAATTTTAGGTTAAATCTATTACCCCCACTTATCTATATAAATGATCTCAAAATTGCTCAAAGGTTTTATAACTAGAACAAAACTATAACTGATCTTCATGTTGCCAGCACTCGTATTGTAAGGTCATAAAAACTATATACACCGTAAAAGAGTATAGAGCGAGTGGCGTTACAAACGTCCCTTCGTGACTGTGATTATTATATCCCATGGCGAGTCGATTCTAGTGCTACGTTCAACGGTATTGTGGAGTGTAGCGTTTTGCCGCAAGCGCAGTGCCGACACGGCCTTAACCGCTATGGGTCGTACGCTCCGGACTTGCGCGAGCGCGTATCTCAAAAACGTCAGACATTCCTCTACAGGATGTCCCTTTTCAAAAAGGCAACGCTCCCAAATCGCTCCCACTGCCGAAATGACCGAGGAGATTTTCTCAAATGCCAAACCTTATTCGGAAGTCCCTGGGCCTAAACCTATACCTTTGTTAGGGAACACCTGGAGGATGGTACCTGTCATTGGCCAGTACGATATATCAGAGTTCGCTAAGGTGACAAAGACCTTCTTTGAGAAGTATGGCAGGATTGTAAGGTTAGGGGGTTTGATCGGGAGACCGGACCTGTTGTTCGTGTACGATGCTGACGAGATCGAGAGGATATATAGAAGGGAAGGGCCGACGCCGTTCAGGCCATCGATGCCTTGTTTAGTAAAATACAAGTCGGAGGTGCGCAGAGATTTCTTTGGAGAGCTTCCTGGCGTGGTCGGTGTGTAAGTACTCTTAAGGTTCTTTTTTATATCCGCTAATTAACTTAATATTGTATTCGAGATTGAAGACTTGCCTTACATGTGATAATAGATTCTGAAAAAAAATTACTACTCATAAAAATACGATGCAAAATATTTATACTATAAACGCGAAAGTCACGTGTGTTTGTCTGTTATAATTTCACAGTATCCTTAACTGATTATGGGTTTTTTTAGAAACAAAGGGATCTTATTAGAAAATACTGCGACTCCATGTAAATAAAATTACTGGTAAAACTATTATATATTAAATAATTTATCTTAGACAATACGCATACGTTTGTATATAGTAAGTTTACGGTAATCTTAATAAAATACAACGGTACCCTAAACAAGAGTAAGAATAAAAATATCTGTTTTCTCTTGAAATCCAGACCTTGGATGGCGACATCATGAGATCTGCATTCGAGCCACTGTACTATGGAGTTACTAATGTTTATAACATTCGCGAAGGCGAGTACTATTTTGTACGAATATTGCGAAGGCGAATGTGTTTTATTTTTTAATTTGGTGCCAATCTTTCAGCTAGTTGCACAAAAGTAAGTTGAGATTGTCGTTACTTTAACGACAATGACGATAAAAAAATTTCAAGCTTAGAATATTTGTTACAGCTTGAAGTGGTCATTAAACCTGGACTGTGGACATTTGTGTAACTGGGTGTAAGATTATTATTTATAGTTTCATACAATAAGATGATTATCTAAAATTAAAAACTTACGTAAAGACTGATAAAAGTTTCGCAGGACAGTTTGTATCTATTTCTTTAGATTGCATTATATACATTTAGGAGAAAATAAATCGTGCCATCTCTCTTTTTATGGTTTTTACGGGGTTATGTTCGGTGATATCTAAAATAAGATATCACCGAACATATAACATTATGATGTATGTATATCATAATATATGTTATTAATGAACCTTTAAAATCTAAAAAAGCGTTTCTGTGTTTAAAATTGTGTCACAAAAGGAACCAAAAATGTTTTGATTAATTCATTAATGTTCTAAAAGAAAAATACTGTACAGTTTAACTTTATTAGCAGTAAAAGTAAAGATGATTATTATAATGAGGTTACAGTTATTTTTTTTCTAATAATATGAAAATAGAAAGTTAATAAATATTTTAATATATGATAAAGATCATATTACCAATTGTTTTTTTTTCTGATATTCATATTCGGAAATCATTCGCATAAATTTTACGAATATTCAAAAATAGGCTAATATAAGCGAATGCGAATTCGAATGTTCGTAACATCACTACCACGAAGGTCATCAGAGCTCTAATGCTGTTAAAGTTAGAGTAATTATGTCGCTTCAATTATAGTCCCTTTTGATATAGTTTTTGTTACATCAATACAAGATAGATAACTGTGTACAACATATGTGTCTCGTGTGACATTGCATATTCGGCTTCAGGGAGATAGTGCAATGGCGTTAATTACAATAGTTGTGATGTCTCGAGGTGGCATTATTACCTTAACATTGGCAGAATCGAGGCCTTGTTCTCAATTCACCAAAATGAAATCGTGTCGGCGTCATTTTAAACTAGCAATCTGATGAGGCGTAATTTCACCACTTTCACATTTCAACATACTTAACGTTCTCTCTTACTCTATAGATAAATTATATTTATAAACATCTACTTTATTCTATACAACCTCCGTGCCCGAGCGGTTCGCACGCCTGTATTTCGTTATCCCTGGGTTCGATTCCCGGTCAACAAAAAAAAAAGAAAAGTTTTTGTATCGACTTCGTTGTTTCAGATCTCGATAGTGCAAGGGTTTTTTCTACTCAATTTCGAATCTGAGCAATGATATAATCTATTCCTTTACAGTTTTCGTCTATTTTCATTTGTAATGCACAAGGGGCTCTCCCTGGCTCTATATGGGTATTTTTACATATGGGTCCCAAACGTATTTGAAAATATTCTATCACTTATATTCACCAAGAGCAATGTAGGATTTTAATTGTAAAAGATTTTTTCAAATAAGTCTAGTATATTAGAAACGTGTTAAATCCTTAGATTTGCTCTGTATAATATAGTAGAGGTCGAGAATCAATGAACATTTATTAAATGACGTGTTAATTGTCAAATGGTCTTATTATTAAAGGGAAAAATGCAGCCTTTTCTGAGTATCTTGCCAGTTGTCTCACATATATTTGCGAATCGATGGCTGCTTTTGACTTTCACAATCTATTACAACAGCCTAGTCTGAATAGTTAGATGACATTGATTTGATTTGAATAATAATTTAATGCATAATTAGGTAATCAGTTTTAGTTGTTTAAGTACGATTTTCTATGTTATTATTTATTTTTTTGTTTGAATTCCATTCGCAGAATTATACACAAAATATTCCTAGAATAATGTGTAACTATAAAAGTTTACGCGCTAAATTTTACAACATGTAAACACGACTGTCGTGGCCGCCATTCACAGAAGTTTATTAGCGGTTTGTATTTACAGCCAAGTGTTATATCAGTCATTGTCAAACACACCGAACCGCTTTCCGTTCGCGTTTGAACAATGCGTAAGATTACAATAAATAAGGCTTCACTCGTAAGTTAAAGTGTGCAGGTAGAATTCTCAAAGAATAGGTACTAGCTTTTATCCCTATATTGCGCTCGCGTATATTATTACACTCACTTGCGTTTGATGTGGCTTCTCATATATTTTTTTTATTCGGTCAAGTATATAAACTTTTCGAAATTAATCGAAACTCGAAATATTGGTATGGAAAACTACTTTAACCGGTGACGTTTTTTCATTGCTTAAAAACGGTCTTCTTCTTTTATTAATGGCTTATCTGCGCCTTCGCACAATTCTGCCAATGTCAAGTGAATAAATAAATTTCTACATGTTAAATGAAAATGAAATGAATGAAAGATGGCGATGATCCGGTTTCGTCGCATGTAGGATTATTGAAAAATTATAACCAACATTTACATTAAAATAAAACGTTTTAAAACGCAAACAAACAATCAATTTCATCTTTATCAAATAATATGTAGACAGGCAACAAAAAAGCAATAAGTAATCTATGGTTTTTAAAATTTATGCGAAAATCATTAGTGGCATGGGTGGCCCGGTTTATAATAATAATTAAAATATATTTAAAACGAGTCTGACTGCGTCTATGTCAAAGATAATCCGTTATATAAAATGACTTTCACTACTGTCAAGTTTGACGTCTATTGCTATATTTATTGTGGGTGTAGATTTTACAAGTTCGTGATAATTGTTGTGCTACCGTGTGTATAAATCGATCGTTTTGTATAAAAATAAGTAAACGATATATAACGCGAGTAGTGCATATACTAAATTTGAAGTATTTTTTGTTGATTTTTTATTTGTGTTCATTTCTTTCTATAAAAAGGATGTTTGATGAAATAGTCTCGGTGCGGACAATGATCAAAAAAGGTACTGTGAATTAAATACTTTCACTTCTTTTTGATATGGATATTTCGTGCTGCTCTAAAAATGCCAAAAATGCTTTCAGATGATAAATATGAACTATCAAAATAATGACTAACCTTCCCTTTGCTGCAGGTATGAGCTAGATCCCTTCGCCTTTAATTGAATAAAAAACTAAAAATAGTTGTTTTCTTTTTCATATATGAATATGTACAGAAATACTCTATGTTATTTATGCACTGAACTCGCCTTGACCTTGCTGAAATAATTGGTTTGTGAGGTCTCCATTATACATGACCGTTTTTCTTAGCGCATCATCTATTTGCACTTGGCAAGGTGTTAAAATAACATACAGAAATGTCAACTAGTTTCCATTGAAATATTGTTAGATAGCGTTTAGCAAGAATAAGCAACATGGACTAATAAAATGCACGTTTTATTTTTTAATAGCTATTATCCGCGGCTTTGACTGCGTGTTTGAAGGAAAATAAGTGAGACTAAAATATCAGGCTCCTGTTTCCACCAAAGAGTTTAGATTTTGTCCACTTAACTCATCATCAACATCATCACTAGCCCTTTTACGTCCTCACTGCAGGGGCTCAGGCCTTCCTTATGGATGGTTAAGGAGGATAGGCCATGACTCTCCACGCTGGCTCAATTCGGATTGGAGGGTATTAACGACTACTAATGCAGCCGGGTATAAGTTCACACTCTTTATTTTTTACTTTATTCTTACCTTTAAAATATGTAACTTAGATACCTACTTGCAAGAAATAAAAGGCTTTTTATTTTTATTTTATTATTATTTTATTAATGCAGCCGGGACCAACGGCTTAACGAGCCTTCCGAAGCACGGAGTAGCTCGAGATAATAATTTTTTGGACATCCATCCCGTGACCGACCCTTGCGAAAGTTGCTTAACGATAACGATCGCAGGCCGCGGCGCTTATCCACTACAGCACCGAGCTATACTTAGTCCACTTAACTATTTCCACACAAAGATCGGTGCATCAGAGTAATGAAAGATATAACTTAAAATACCACAAAAAAAGTCAACTCACACTACTTGGTCTATTTGGCTTTAGGGTAAATACGGGACGTCCTTATCCAAAGATGTGTATGCAGATAGGTGGAAACATATTTTTGTGTCATGTTGTGTTGTTCTCTTGACGTGGCGGAAGTATATCGGTTTCATACATTATTATGGTTAGAGACATTTGCATGTTGCGTTAAGTCCTGGCTTAATATCATCAGTATCATTCTAATGTATAAAATAACACGCGACAGCAACTACAGCGACACAAAAATGTGTTTCCGCCTTAAAACACGATACAATAGGTTTTATTAATCGACTTTTCCAAAGGTGTTTCGATATTACAAAAGATCGAATTGGAAAATGACCTCGTTTTGGGCGTTACTAGATATTTATTACACAAAGTCTGATAATGTTGCGACCTCTATTGACGTATTCATGTCCCATAACTCTGCACCTATGAAATACGTATTTGATTATTACGAAACCAAATGAAATAAATTATAATTAGTTAAT